ACGTATGAGCACGAGATCGTTTCATCTTTGGCTGAGGTGCAACTTGGCAGCGTGTCAGGAGAGAAACCAAACCGACAGGGGATTTTTAACTATGCGGAGCAGCTTTCTTAAAAAGCCTTGATGGTGAGCACATCTGGCTCTCAGAAGAAGAGCTGCGTCATTTTTAGTGACGACCTGCAATGACGTCCTTTGGGACAACACACCCCCCTGGACCGTGGGACACACCTTCAGGGCTGACTCAGAGGGACCATCCTCACTCTGCTGCTCCATCAGCTCCCTCTCAAGCCTCAACCTTCCCATTCCGATGCCAAGTAAACCAAAAATCTCCATCCGACAGTAAAAAACACCTCCAGCACAGCGTGTGTTTTTGCCCTTCAGTACCTTGACATAGGAAAGAATCTCCTGCAGGGAGAGATGCCTGCAGCAGGAGAGGACCTCTGCTCAGGATGCTGCCATCTCAAAGGGCTGCCATTAACACCAGTAAAGATGGTCAAGGCTACATGGCACCAGACCCACCATAGCCAACTCCCACAGCACGGGCAGGGTGCTTTCTCAGCCAAGATCTGGGCTTGGAGGGAACTTCTAGACACGCACCGCAAAGCAGTATCTAACTGGCCTGCAAGCCCAGACAAGCTGACACTCCCTAGATAACCCCGTCATCCTCCCCTAAACCACCCCTGGCCCCTCCACGTAACCAGCCCTGCGTGTTTATGATCTGTCACACACATGACTGTCACCTGCCAAGCCCTGGAGATGGGCTTCTTCCCGTCCTGTCCCTTTGCCCAGCACCACGGGTCACTGCATCACCGGTGCTGGTGGACATATCTCTTGGCACCACCAAAGAGATGCCAGCAGGACCCCATCCCACCTGCAGAGACCTTTATGGGAATGAAATACAATCATTAAAGGTGTGCCAGGCACCAGCAAGGCAGGAGATGAGGAAGCAGGGAGCGAATACCCTGTTACAAGGGGCACTTGGGGAGGAGAGGACCCATGGACTAAGCATTGTCATCATTGGAGAGGTTCATCGGGGACACAAAGCCAGGCTGATGCCAGTGCCAAACCACAGCTAAGATTAAGCAGCCTCTGATGGGAAATAACTTGTATCGAGCCCCCTGGAGGCTTCTTCCTTTCCAAAACTACATTTTTTTTTCTCGTGGTGGTGGTGGTGTAGGGGGGGGAGGAAGGGTGGATGCTCTACAAACAACTTCTGGTAAGTTTTTTGTCTCCTCCTCATCCTGCCTCCTCTTCCACTCCAGCTATGTTTTTAACGGAAAGTTACCTTTTTTTCTGAAAACACAAGCAGTTGACTTGAAATGATGAAACAGAGCATACGATAGACTTAGAATCATAGAATTGTCTAGGTTGGAAGGGACCTTTAAGATCATCTAGTCCAACAATCAACATGACTCTGATAAAAACCATCACTAAACCACGTCACTAAGCCCTATGTCAACCCATCTTTTAAATATCTCCAGGGATGGTGCCTCAACTGCTTCCCTGGGCAGCCCATTCCCATGCTTAATAATCCTTAATTAACCCTCTGGTTTTCCCCAGCAAAACATCTTTTTTGTGCATTTTTCCCCTCTATCCCAAAAACTTTGTTTATTCAGTGTATGCTGATGATGAGTCTAAATTTATGAAGTATCTGAAATCCAGGCGAGTGCTGGATTAAGGAGGTAAAAAGAAGGCAAGAAGGTAAAAATCCTTCACTTTGCATAGGAGCAATCCTTCACTTTGCTTCCCGGTGAGTGGGACCATAAAAACCCATTGCTCCCAGGGTCGGGAGGAAGGCAGGGGCAGGGCAGGGACATCCCGTTGTACCACACCCCCCCCACGCACCAAGCAGCTCCCCAAGGTCACAACACTCACATTTCGGAAAAACCCAACTCCAGCACTGAACGCCTTTAAAAACAACATCAGGTGTCTTTTTACACAATCTGGCTTCATTCACCCAGAATTGTACCGGCTGCAGTAATTCCTGGAAGCAACATCCTGTCTTCCAGCCGAGCACGATACTCATCATCGTCTCCCCTGACCTTAAAGCCCATGATTCAAGGGTTTCCCCATCTCCCCTGACATTAGATCCAGCAGCACACAAGGGCAACCATGCCACACAGAAAAGCCCACCAGCCTCTGGGGGCTTGAAAGGGACGTGCTCGTGCAAAGTGCTGCCCATCTTCTCTTGCAACAGCTCGACAGAGCAGACGGTGCACAATATCCCATGGTATTAAGCCCATAGATCAATTAAACCAGGGGGACAACAGCACAGGGTTACTGGGGGAAAGGATGCTGGAGATGGTCTGCCTTGCTCCCACCTTCACATCACCTTCATCCCACTTCAGGTCCAGAACCTCTGCAGCATAAGGCAGCAATTTCCTCCCTCCCAAACCCGATGGGACCCCCAAATCCTGCCCTTCCTCTCAGCCACACCATAACCCCCATCCCAGCAGCGACTCTGCTCCAGTCTTTTGCCAGACAGAGAAGCAGCTACAAGAGAAAGGTGCAGGTGAGGAGCCCTGTCCCAGCTCCAGAAAAGGGAGTAGAGACTCAGACCCACAGCAAACCGAGGCCAGCTGGGCCACAAGACACTAGTGTGATATCTCAGATAGCTCCAGTCATGCCCATTAATTATGCTATTCCTTGGGGCGATAAACATTTAGACTCACAAAGCTGCCACGGTATCAGTGCAGCATCGTCCCCACACAGATAAGGGGCTGTGCAGAGATGGGCTATCTCCCAAGTTGAATAAAAGAACAGAAACTTCCAGTTTCCACCGTAAAAAAAAATTCTCTCTGCTCTTCTCTGCACACAAAATCCCTGGCTAATGCTCAACCCGTGCTACTGGAGTTTTGTCAGCAAAAGAGGTGGCAGGTAGGTCTAGCTCCATAGGACCCACCAGCAGCCCTGAGTCATGCCAGTAAAACCCCAAACTTTTTGTCAATAGAACAAAATCACCTCCCCAGCCAAGGCGAGTTCCTCTCCCAGCTCTTTCCCCCGCAAACAGCCCGCCCAGGCAGCGCCTTATTAACACCAGTGAAAACCATCTTCCGTCCAAAAACCCACAGAGCACCCCCCACACACATCCACAGCGGTGGCTTTTCAGGTCACGACATCACCAGGACCAGAAACCTGCACCAGTTCATTCCCAGGCACCCAGAGAGAAGCTCTACAAAGCACACAGGAGTTTCCTCCAGTGACGACCACCTTCGCAAACAAGGGGGGCAAAGCAAGCTCTGGCTCAGCCCTGGACTGCAGCCCAGAGCTGGAAAATAAAAGCAGCATCTGTCGGGGAGAAGCATTATCCACTAAAATTAAAAAAAAAAAAAAGCAGGGGAGCATCCCTCCAGGGAGGGAAACAGGCTGCTAAAGCACAGCTAAATATTTATCGCATCCAACCCTGATATTTTGCAGGCGCCTGCTGTTATTCCAGCAGAAAGCAGCACAAGGAGGAGGGCAGAGGCAAAGCGCTGCGCTCCCTATATAATTGCTGTAATTAATTGGATGCAAGCTCCGCGGTGCTTCGAGCAGAATTAAAATAAAAACCTGGCTCCATGGGACCAGAGCTCCCAGCCCTGCCAACCCTTCTGCCCACAGACACCCAGGGGACACCAGGCTGGTAGCTGCTCTGCCTGGAGGTGACAGGAGCCCAAAGCCTGGCTTCTTCAGGTCACGGCCCCACGGTGTATTTTCAGCAGAACTGCCCTTTTTTTGGGGGTGGTGGTGGCAGGAAAAGTGTGAATGGCACACGAGACAGTACAGGATTCACAGCCGACTGACCAGCCTAACGGTGGTGCACTCACTCCCATGGAGGGCAAAGGAGGGACATGTCCCCACCACCTATTTACCCACCCAGAATAGACATGCCACCAGAACAAGCACCAGTTTATTCCCAGGTTCCGGCATTTCTCACCGCTGATTTTTCCAAGCCTTGGTGTCAAAGAAGAGCTGCTTCCCCACCAACAACAGCCTGGGTCCTGCCCTCTCTCCCCAACAGCCCTAATCTTCCCGGAGGAAGATCTCTCCTCCAAAAGAAGGACTTGATTTTGAATTACTCGGGCACCGGAGCTGGGTGAACCCAAGCAGGTCTTCTCCCTCCAGACCCCATCCATGCATCCTCCCTCCCCGCAGCTGCAGGGCTGATTTCTCCCACAAACTCCCTGGTTTTGGGAGACACACACCTCCTCGCCGGCAACGCTCCTGCCTGTCCCTCCAGGAGGGGCTTCCCAGGCACAGGGGGGCCACTTGAGTCACAGCCAAAAGCCACTGCAATGGGCACATGGGTCTTCACACACAGGCAGAAAAAATGCCTGGACCCCCAGGGGAAAGGCAGGAGCTGGGATTTGTAGGCACAGAGTCTAACACAGACCCTGCACCCTCTGCCACGTGTCTGCAGGAACATAAAAGCTGCAATCTCCCTGAGGCTTCATCCCCTTCTGCTTTAGCCTCTGGGATACAACACCCCCTCCCTTCACAGCAGCAGTTTCACCCAAAAAAGGTGCAGACTTTGTTGGAAAAAAATCACGCCCGGGACCAGCCACATGTTGGATTTGCAGCTAGAGCTGTGTCCCTTGGAAACCTCTGCAAGGAGGACACGAGGGGCAGCTCCAGAGCTCCACACACAATTCCTTCCCCCAGTGCCACCCAAACACAGCTCGAGGGAGCTTTGGTGACCCAAGACAAGAAGCAGCTTTTGCATATTTTAGCAAACATCAGACTTGACCACAAGATAACACGGGAAACCAAGCGACTCTTCCCCCCACACCTGATCCTGCGAGGTAATTTGGATCAAGCAGATAGGAGCGATGGGAAGAGGAAGAAAGCTGAAATCCTTCCTAAGCTTCGCATAATCCCCAGAAGGTGTTTATCTGACAAGCTATGTTTAGCACAGAGGGAGGCAAAGCTCTTGCCCAGCACCATTCCTATCCCCCGTGTCACGGCCAGCCACGTGCATCCCCAAAAACTCCCGAGGCAGGAGTCAACCCCGTGACTAAACCAAAATGACGGCAGGTGAGTTTTGGTACGTATCCATCATGGAAACAGCCAACCTGAGAGCTTCAGCAGCCTCCGTGTACAACCCTGAACAACTTGAGCCCCTGAAGGGAAAGCAACCAGCACAAAAAGAAACCCAAGACTGCTCGCTGGATTTCCCTAAGGAAAATTTAGCTTAAATTCAAGCTGTCCAAAAAGAGAGGCAGAAGAAGCTGCTGTGAGCTCTGCCAGCAGCGTTTGCAGTCCCAGCAGCGGGTGTAGGCACCTAGACCTGTGAGCATCCCTGTGCAACATCCAGCAAACCCTCCTCGGGGGGCTGGCATGGCCAAAGGAGATCCAAAACTGAGGAGAGGCACAGAGGAGGGCTGGCAGGACGAGAGGAGAAAGGGTCTGAAGAGCCAGATGGGTTACACACACTCAGCATTCAGCACGGGGATCAATTCTATCCTGACAGAGGCAAAGGAGCTCGGGTCAGCTGGGGACCCCGAGCCAACAGAGACCAGGCACACTCGGCACACGTGTGACATCTCCAGCAAACAGACACGAGAAGTAATTGAATGAATGAACCCCTTCAGCACAACCAACAGCCCCGTGCAACCAGAAACCTGCAGCAGACACAAGCAGCTTCCAAACTTCCTCCGAGGAAAGCACCGGCTGCTCCCGTGGGCATCGCCTTGTGCCATCAGCCAGAAGATGCCCCCAAAATCCTCCCTGGCCCAGCTGGGGCTTCATCTCCTGCAGGAAACACAAGTCCCTTCGGCGAGGCTCACCTCTTCCTTCCATCCACACATCCACGGGATGCCCGGGGAGCCGAGCAAGAGGTCTGGGCTCGGGCGTCCCGGCGGGAGGCTTTTTAAGAAGCCGGGTTGATCCCTTCCAGCGTGGGGCTGGTGGCAGAGGGCATGTGCTCCTACCTGTGAGTCAGCAGCTCCGCTCTCGGCAGCAGCCAGTACAAATCACTGCTGATTCACCCCCCCTGCTTACACAGCAAACAGGAAGCTCAGGTCCACATTCCCTCGGGTTAAGACACGGATCGTGTAAGAGGAGTCAAAGTGGAAAAGGAGGGAGGGAGCAGAAGAAAAAAAAAAGTCACGCCAAGGTGCGTTCATCAGCTCACATGGTGCCTGACTTCAAGTTTCCAGCGCATCACTCCCCAGCAAGGTCGGGGGGAAAAAACCACCACCTTCAAATTTTATTCCGGTGATAAGAGGGAGGGCAGCAACCCCCTGCTCCCCGGGGCTGCTGCTGCCTCCTCCCTCCGGGCTCCGCCGCTGATGCAACCCCTTCCCCCGCAGCACCGAGGCACCGGCCGAGCCGTTTCCCTGCCCTCAGCCCCCCGGTACGGCCGGTGGTGTCACCCCTCGCCGGTCCCTGCTCACCTTGGGACAAGCCATCACCAGGGGGTCTATAAATAACACACACCCACACACACACTCACACCTTCCCGTGACACGGGGTCACGGCTGGACAATGGGAAACGCCGCCGCGGAGCTCCCGGTGCTCCCGGTGACAACGGGTGACAGCTCCGTCCCGGCCACCCAAATGCACCCCCCCCGTGCCGTGGGGGGGGAACGGGATTCTCACCCCCCGCCTCCCTCCCCAAGCCCAGATGAAGGCTCCCTCCTCATCCTCGGCGCGCTTTTTTTTGGGGGGGGAAGACCCCGCCATGAAACTCGCACATTTTGATCCTTTTCCACGCAAAATAAAAGGAGCAGCCCCTTCCCCTCCACGCACCGGCCCCGGGTTCTGCAGCTCGGGGGAAGAAGCGGGAGGCCAGCCCCGGCCGGCGCTGCCCGGTTGCAGGCGAGGCCCTCGGGGCCCCAGGCACGGGCAGCCCCCGCCGAGCCCACACCCCGGTTGGGCAACAGCCCCGTCTCCCCGGCGGGTTACGCCAGAACCCGCCGGGGAGGCTCAGCCCGGCCCGCGGCCCCGCTCCACCCCCCGGAACACCCGGCCCCGAGCCTCCCCCCCGGTCCCGGCT